TACGGGAGTAGAAAGCCTCATCTTTCTCCCGCGGAGCGGCTGGTATTTTCGAACCACTGACCTTAAGGTCGGAACTGACTAGATGGCACTAAACAAAGATATATGGTCTCTGTCCTTTTTCTTCACTGCAGGTTGCCCAGTGCCTAATGCCTGCAACAGACAGGCACCTCAATATTTGTTGAACAAATGAATGCATGAATGCTGCAGAAAGTATAAGATTTCATTAGGCAGAGCACAGAATAGGAGCTCTTGGGATGAAATGCTTCAGTACTTGACTGCTAACCAAAAAGTTGCTGTTCAAACCCACCTAGCTACTCCACAGGGGAAGGACCTGGTGGTCTGCTTCTATAAAAGCCTAGAAAGCCCCATGGGGTAATTCTACTCAGTCACATGGGATTTCTAGGAATCAGAATTGACTCAACCAGAGCACAAATGGTCCCAGTTCTGACCAGCCCTCTGGAGTCTGTAGGCAGCCTTCCTGTGTTTCCCCAAAGTCTATCGCACCCTAAGGTTTATGACACTGAGCTAGTGTGCAGGCCTACAGGCATATCCAGAGGGGGAGGAACTGGACCTTTGTTTTGACAGGTTCTAATAGCAGGAAATCGTTAACTGTCTTTATCCTTCTGGTGAAGCCAGAATGCACACACGGAACATAGTTAATCAAAACACACACACATTTATGGCATACTGATATAGCTAGCGTTCCCAAGGAGCAGCTGGTGAGCTTGAACCACCGCCCTTGCAGTTCAAATGCAATAGTCCACAGCACCATACCAGGTCTCCAACAGGTCTAATAGGTACTTAATTTCCAAATAACTACTATAATTTCAAAATATTAATTTAAAAAATTGAGATTTTTGCAATAATTCTGAGATATGAAAATACCTGTTTTCGATTACTGATAAAGTCCCAAGTATTACTCTAAATGCAGTTTGATATTACTGAAAACATTATACTTTCCTTAGTTAAGTTCATAGAATTCCTGGATTCTATGCACAGATTCTTTTAGTATTATTGAACCCCAGATTAAGAAACCTAATAATAAAAGAAGGGTGGAGGGGTGTCAGGGGGAGCATTAATCCTGTTTGTTTTGCCGTGAATGCTCCAGATCCCCACTTTCTGAGAGTGCCACCCTGGAAGATCGCTCTGTTTGTAATTGTGCCAGTTCTTGGACCCTTGGTTGCCTTGATCATCTGCTACAACTGGCTCCATCGAAGACTAGCAGGTGGAGTGGTGGTACAGGAAGCAGGACTGAGTCAGCCATGAAAGGGGAAGGAAGAGGGTGGAATCAGGATTGAAGATTCAGGGCTGAAATTTCTCTCCTCCTCTGCCCACACCCAGCCCCTGGCCCCTTTGAAGAGAACCACTTACTGAAATCTATGGGGTCACTTAGAGAGGGAAAGATGGGTCACTATAGGTCTCCACAGGGAGATGTGGGGAGGGGGCAGTCATCTTCCCCCATTCACCTATTTGTTTCTGTTTTCAGGGCAATTCCTTGAAGAGCTGAGTAAGTAGTCTTCTCCTTTGTAAAAATCTGAGGAAAAGGCCAGGAAAGGGAGACAAAGCAACAAAGAGGGCTACTGAAGGGTCAAAATTACACAGGACAGGAGGGGCTAGTGGGGAAGCAAGTGGGGCAGTCCCACCTGCTGTCTGATTTGCTCCGCCTTTAGGGCCTCTCAGCAGGAATCCCACTTGCTGTTAGCTGCTCCTTTCCTATCCCCCAGTCACAACAGCTGCCCCAGGCCTCCCCTCCTGGCCCAAGCACACAGATTACCTTTTCTCTAGTTCAATAATTTCATGATTAAAAATTATATGACATAGTTTTATTACATATATTCATCCTTACCAGAAAAAGGAAAAAACTTAAACCAAACAAAAGGCATAGTGGGTTTTTTTTCAAGTTATTTTCTCTTCCTTCTTTTAGGAAACCCTTTCTGAGTAGTCACAGGAGAGGAGGAAGAGCCTGGCTACTCCAGAAACTGACCCATGGGGGCGTCTTTCATCAGTTGCACCCTCACAGGCTTCCTTGCTTTGGGCCACTCCAATCTGCCCTTTGAGAAACACTCTGAATTCCAAATAAGATGGCTTTTTCTTCTATCATCTATCTTTTTCTTATCTCCTTCCTTCCTCACTTTTGTTGTATTTATCTTTCCATGCCTTTCTTCAATCTTCCACCTGGAAGTTCTCTGGCTATGGCCATGTGGGTGCTCATCCCTCCACCAAAAGACACTGGTGCTGGACAGTAACAGATGAGTTTCTGCCAAAAACTGAAGACCAGGAACTTCCTTGTTGTCTATTACAGTATGCCAACTTGCCAAACGGTATTGTTTCTTCAAAGACCCCAGCCCTAACTACACATAGCTAAGAAATGTGGAGGGTGGAGTAAAGGAACAGGAAGAGTCCAAAACATCAAAGAAAGAACTGAGTGAGCAGCAGAATGAGGACACGGAAAGAAAACCATAGAATACTGGTCAGAGTTCCATCTCATCTCAGCAGACTATCGAGGACCTGGCAACACATCTGCTTTAGAACGTTTCCTTTCTACTTCCACATCTTCCAAGGGTCCTTCAGACTTTCCCTCCTCTCATCCTTATTGCTGTTGGAGTATCCACTGGCTTATTCAACAATTACTAGTTGATGGTCTATCAAACACAAAGAAATAGGCTCGGTGCTAATGAATAATAATACAAGTCTCCCTCTGTCACTTTCCCCTTTTTCTGTATTTCCTTCTTTATCCCTTCCTTGGCCACAACTTCCTTATCCTGGAGGTCATGCTTCGGGAAAACCAAACACAAAGACTTCAGTCAGAATGCTCCAAGACTCTCCTTTGTATTGCCTCTTTTGCATGCCCTCTCCCTTACCTCCCTTCCCCTGGTGGTAGGGTTCCTACGAGAAGATGGATTTCCTTCGTGTTTCTCATCCTTCCCTGCCTTAAGGTGGGCAGTATGGGAGAAGCCAAGGCATTGCCCCAGGATGAGCCAGCATTTATGGGATCTTCTCATGCATTTTCCGTCAACTTTGGAGTTCTTCCAGTGGCCTAGAAGGTCCTCCTTCTCCCCAAAGCAGAGGTCGCAGATAGGGCACCGGTAGATCTTCTGCTTCCAGTGGGTCTGCTGGTGCCTGACTAGCTTAGAGAATGAGCTGAGAGATTTACCACAATAGAAACAGCGGTTTTGCTGCTCTGTGAGGTGGGTCTTCTGGTGACTAAAGAGACAGGCTTTCTTGCTAAAAGTGAGGGGACAACTGTGGCAAGTAAAGACCTCGTGTTTCATGAGCCTTGTCTGGTAAGGGCTGAACCTGCTATCCAAGGAAGGGGCTCTAGTGTTGGGCATCCGGATCCTGAGCACAGGTCCCTTGGTTCCAATGACTGGTGCCTGAGTTCTCACCTGGTTTCCAGACACTGATGTTTGGTTACTAACAATAGATGGTTGGGGTTGGGCCACAGGGTCCTCAGTTCTAAATATGGACTCTTGGTTCCTGGCCACTGGTGACGGGTTCCCAGCCAAAGGCTCCTGAATTGATGCCTGGCTCCTGTCAATCAGTGCCTGGAATCTAGTTGTGACTTCTGGGATCCTCATAACACAATCTTGTTTCTCTGCCACTGGCTGCTGATCTTGGTGCGTCTTCTGGTGGCGTTTGAGCTCAGACTGGTCCCGGAAGCCTTTCCCACAGAAGGAGCATAAACGGGGCCGGTAACCTATATGGGCACGGCGATGGCGACTCAGTCCAGATGGGTCACAATAGGTCTTGTCACAGACAGAGCAACCAAAGGGCTTCTCCCCAAGATGCCTATGCGTATGGTAGCGGAAGGTCTTGGGATTCCTAAATAATTTCCCACACTGGTTGCAGGTATGAGTCCATTTGGAGGTGTGAATACACTGGTGGCTACGAAGGTGACAGAGCTTGTTGAAACACTTGCCACACGTTTGGCAGCGAAAGGAAGAGCCAGCCGGGGAAGAGCGTGGGCTCTGAGGACCTGCCCCTTCTCCAGCAGGGGAAACCTTGTTACCTCCAGTCCTATCTCTCAGACACAGTCTCCATTCTCGAGGTTCCTCATATTCCTTGTCTCCTAAAGTAATGAGGAAGAATAACACAAGACTCACCAGGAGAACACAAACATAATCCCTCCATTCTCCAAACTACTTCCCTTCTTTCTATCCTCTTCTCATCCAAAGCATTCATCCTCCCCCTTGGAACTCATAGGCTAAATATAAGAATATACCCTTGGGTTTTTTAATTAAAATCAAATAAAAAATTTTACTGGACAATGTTATGAGATATCAAAATCTTTCAACAATGTTGTGGGAGATCAAAATCTCAACCTACAATATTTCTTGTAATGACTCCTCTTGTACTCAGTGTTATCCACATTTTACAGACTCCACAGATACAAGTGACCATACAACATATCATTCAAATTGGAGCACTGGAGAGTGAAAGGAGGTGCCATTCATAACTAAGCTGGGTGAGAAGTATGTTGTTGTTGTTGTTAAGTGCTGTCGAGTCAGTCCTGACATATAGCGATCCTGTATAGGGTTTCCAGGTGAGATGTATGTTGTTAAGTGTGGTCCAGTGCATATCCTATAGCACTACACCAGGATTCCTAAATCCTGACAAATCAGTAAGTGTGGTCAGTCTAGATCTAGAGAGCCCTGGTCCTCTCAGTCAGCTATTGGTCCCTCCAGGGCATGTCTTGGGCTCTTTTCATCTCCCTCTCTCCTTCACAATTCTTACCTACAAGGAGGCAGTCTCCATTTGAGGGATGATGGTCTGTTTTCCACTGCTCCTCTGCTTTTTCCTTGGTGATCAGATCTTCTTTAAGCTGACAGATTCTGACTGGTGAGTGGGAACAAAAGAAAGAATTGAGTTGGTCCAAGATTGGCTCTTTCACACCCAGTAGGGATAGGATACTAGGCTATCTTTTATATCCTCGGTTTAAGCACCACAATCTGGGAAACAGAGACGCAGAGAACAGATAACTCAAAAGGTCAGATATGAGCAAAGTACTTGACGCAGAGGAGTGACAGTAAATATTGGTTAGATGAATAGTTTCAAGGCAAATCTGCACATTCTGAGAAAATTAACATAGTGTTATCTTTGCTTTCATTTCTTTTCCTTGTGCCCCTAAGCTTAGTGACCTAGATCTTTTACACCTGAAAGGTTTTGAACCAGGGGTTAGTGGAACTCATGATGAGTGGGTCTACCTGCCCAGGAACAATAGATGTCCCAGGGCCCTTGGACCAAGAGCTTGCTGAAAGAAACAGTCTCTCACCTATAGATGCCAGATTCTTAAAGGTCTCCAACATAACATCTCTATACAGGGCCTTCTGGCTGGCATCCAGACAGTTCCACTCTTCCTGGGTGAATTTCACTGTCACATCATCCAAAGTGAATGGCTCCTGGAATAGCAGGAGAATCAGGGAGTCAGGGAGAAATGGACACACAGACATCCAGACTCAAGGTTCAGAGAACCAAAATCTAAAAGAAAAAACCATGGAAAGAAGAAAGAAATAGGAAAAGAGGGACACAAAGCTAGCAACTCTGAGGTTAAGACCTGAGCAAAAAAATAAAGTCAGACACAAGAGAGAAATATGAAAAGACAGGTACAAAGCCAGCAACTCTGAGAGGGAACGGAAGTATAAAGAGAAAGGAGAAAAGGAAAGGGGAAATACAGCATCTAATTAGGAAAGATAGGCAAAGGAGAAATGGCTTCTATTTTGATGAATTTCAGATTCCACAAGAGATGTCAGGATAGTATTGGGCAGGGAAAGGCCTTGCAACCTTTGTCCTTCCATCTGGAACAGTCGGAGACTCCACTTGACCTGCAGATAGATGGATGAAAAGAGCTCTCAGGTCTAAGTTTCATGGCTTCCTATAGGCCTGCTGCCACTGTACCCACCTGAGGGGGCTGATTTGGCGCTGGTTGCATCAGCTTCAACAGGTCCAACACCTCTGCTTCCATGGTGTCTCTTTCTAACTTTTCCATTCCTGACTGGACCCCTTCCTGGGACTCTCTACCTCCCAGTAACAGAGCCATGCAAAGACCCCAGGAGTTGATGTGGCTTCCAGTGGCCAATATATCTGCTCCAAGGGGCTGTCTTCCTCTTCAGTTCCAATGTCCAAACTCTCCTTTCTCAACTGTGAAAGATTGTCTCAAAACCTGGGTCCTGGTCACCGCTGGCTGAGCTGTCATTGTTCAGTAATGCCAGGTTGGGACATCTATCTTCTGTTTACCTTTGGTTCTAGCCACTGGCTGGTGTCCACATCCAAGAGCCTGAGGACAAAGTGAAACAAAAAATATCAGCAAGACAGAGTTTCTTTATTTGATCAGAGAAAATCAAAAGTTATTAAACTCATGTTCTGTGCCCTTAAATCCTTTCAGCACTGCTCTGTGAAGTGATAATTTCTGGTCCCATTTTAAGGAACCTGAAGTATGGAGTTCTGATGTGGTGCTGTAGGATAACACTGAGCTGCCAACAGCAAGTTCAATGGCTGAAACCCACTAGCCTTGGAAATAGGGTCACTATGAATTGGAACCGACTGGAGGGCACTTAACAACAAAAAAACAAATGCAGAGATGCTAAGTCACTTGCTCAAGGATCTTCTTGGTGCACAAGAGAGTGAGTGCTTAAACCCCAGACCCAGTATCACTGAAGACACACAAGGAGGCATCAAAACGTTTGTGGGAGAATAAAGTTAGAAGATGATACAATTTTCCCACCCACGTTTTGAAGTCCTTTGGTGTGATTTCCACTATCCCAAAATGCTGTCCAGAAAAGCATGGCCATAGTCTGAAAAGAAAGCATGTGCCTGGGGGTAACCAGCCCTTGTTGTTGTTGTTGTTAGGTGCCATCGAGTCGGTACCCACTTATAGTGACCTTATGCACAGCAGAATGAAAACACTGCCCCATCCTGGGCCAACCTCATTACTGTTGCCAGTCACAAATCACCTTGACCATGTCTCTTCATTCTCTCTGATTCGGTTTTATTCAAAAAGTGAGAATAAAGGAGACCCTCTTTAAGATCCACTACAGCCTGGTGTGGCGCTGTGGGTTAATGTACCAGACTACAAAGCCGTTTGAACTGCAAGGTAGGAGGTTCAAGCTCACCAGCTGCTCTTTGGAAACCCTATACTGGGTCTCTATGGGTCGGAATCGACTCACTGGCACTTAACAACAACAAGATGAAAATGGGGCTCTGGTACCGTAGTGGTTAACGAATCGGGCTGCGACCTTAAGGTCAGCAGTTCAAAACTACCAGCTGTTCCGCAGGAGAAAGATCAGGCTTTCTGCTCCCGTAAAGATTTACAGTCTCGGAAACCCTGTGCAGGGTCACTATGAGTCAGAACCGACTCCACAGCACATCACCCAAAAGGATGAAAAAACACCCTGCTTGGATGCAAACATGTTGGCAGCCTGCTGGCACCCATAGCTTCTTGTGAAGGAATGGAAATATTAAAGGCTAAAAAACCTGCTAATGTTCCTTCCTTTTGACTAGCAAGGAAAAAGTCATTTGATGGAACTAACTGGATAAACAAAAAATAAGTTGTTATGAAAGCCACATTCCTAGGATCTAAAGTTCCTTCCTCCCTCCCTTTTTTCTTCCCTCCCTCTCTTCCTTCTCTTCAAGATTCATCAGAAACACTCTGTGGGGTGTGTGTTGTTGTTGTTGTTAAGTGACGTCGAGTAGGTTCCGACTCACAGCGACCCTGTATAGGGTTTCGAGGAGCGGCTAGTGAGCTTGAACCGCAGACCTTTAGGTCCAGCGCATTATCCTGCAGCGCCACACCAGGACTCTTGTGGGGTTTATCTAGTGCTAGGGCCCGTCTTCTCTCCCCCAAATTGTAAATTCCGGCGGCTGTGTTGCCCTTCATCAATCTCTTTCTAACCCAAAATCCTTCAGTAACTTCCCACAGTATTTGTGAGGACCGCTGCAATCTCCAACCACTCTCGCCGCCCCCTAACCAAACGGCTTGGGTCCTTTCCAGCCACAGTCAAGGCCTTCCCGCCCTAACCGCCAGCACTCCCGGTCCCAGCGCCCCGTTTTTGCTCACCCAGCTCCAGCATCCCAGCCTGGAAGTTCCCTTTGGGCAGGAACCAGGATGCTTCGCCCACCTCTGCGTGCTGCTTCCATATTTATAGGGCATGTACGTCCAGAAATGGTCGGCCCCATGGCTGGGTCCGCAGTGCCCCCATGCCCCGAAACATCACTTCTTGAACCCCGAGTTTCTATACATGAGCCAGTAGCTTCTCTAGGCAACAAGTCGCCCGCGTGGCTGGAGCGGATGGCGTTCTGAGCCACTCTCCACAACAGGCCAGGTCGCCCCGAGGGAACCCGGTTGTTGAAAATGCTCCAAGGCTAGAGGCACAGTGTCCTCCCTCGCCTGCCAAAGTCGGAGCGGGACGGCAGAAACACGCTCTACCATCCTCAGCCACCGTGAGTGTTACTCCGATTCCTGATACTCACCCACGTGCAAGGACTGCCGCGCGTCCTCACCGCGGCTCCAGCTCACCAGTACGCAAGCCCCGCCTCGGCCCCGCCCCTGCTCTCCCTCACCCAGCTTCCGCCCCCTCCCAAGCACAGGACCCCTGTACCTAGTCAGGTGGCTCTGCTGAGCCTGGGGACCAGCCTAGGACATGAGATGGCTAAGAAGTCTAAAACCAGGAAAGCCCGGTCATATCTCCATGTGCTCGCTCACCAAACTACTTGATAGCCAGTGGTCCTACCTAGCACTAGGATTTCTAGAGTGAAAGATTCTCTCTGATTAAAACATCCACCACCCAAAAGAGAAAATAAGACCTTCACACACACACACACACACACACACACACAGAGACACTTGGAGCACACAGTATCTTAGACAAGCAAAGGCAATGGTGATAGACACATATGAGACTTACATGACACATTTACCAGACACCTAGAGTGCACAAGGGGGCCATAGCCAAGTAAAGTCCTATTAATTCTTGTCCCTGACTAAAATCCAATTCAACTTTCTTTTATTCTGTGGTACCCACAAACACAATATAAACAAGGGGCCTTCAAAATGTTTGTAGAAAAATGGAACTTAAAAAGTATGGCTTTCCCCCCACAAGTTTATTGAAGCCTCTTTATTGCTATAAAATCATAGATATATTTATTAAACAAAAATATTAAAATCTGAAGTGATTTTTTTAAACATATCTTCGATCTATATCTATACACTTCTGAAGGCAGTAATCCATTCACATTGTCAACACCAGATTATTGAATGTTGAAACATGATGAAGAATACCAGAATATTGTTAGATATAGTGCTGGAAGATGAGGCCCTCAAGTTGAAAGGCACTCAAAATACAACTGGGGAAGAGCTGCCTCCTCAAAGTAGAGTGGACTGTGATGATGCAAAAGGAGTAAAGCCTTCAGGACCTTCATTTGCTGATGGGGCACAACTCAAAATGAAGAGAAACAGCTGTAAACATCTATTAGTAATTGGAATATGGACTATACGAAGTATGAATGTGGGGAAATTTGAAATTGTCAAAAATGAAACAAAATGCCTAAACATTGATATCCTAGGCACTAGTGAGCTGAAATGGACTGGTATTTGCCATTTTGGATCTGACAATCACATGGTTTACTATGCCGGGAATGACAAATTGGAAGATCTGTCTTGAAGTACAATGCTGTCTGTGATAGGATAATATCCATATGCCAACAAGGAAGACCAGTAAATATCACTATTACTCAAATTTACGCATCAACCACTAAAGCCAGTGATGATGAAATTAAAGAATTCTACCAGCTTCTTCTGAATCTTGGTGTGGCTCTGTGGGTTAATGCATTGGACTGCAAACTCCTTTAAACTGCAAGGTCAGTGGTTCAAGGTCACCAACCATTCCTCAGAAATCCTATGGATTTCCATAGGATATCCATAGGGTCGCCATGGGTTGGAAACGACTCAATGGCATTTAACAACAACAACAACTAACTTCTTCAGAAAATCCTATATAGGGTTGCTATGGGTAGGAAATGACTCAATGGAACTTAACAACAACAACAGCCAATTTCTTCAGAAAACCCTATACAAGTTCACTATGGGTCGGAAACAACTCAGCGGCACTTAACAACAACAACTATTCAGTCTGAAACTGATCAAACGTGCTATCAAGATATACTGATAATTACTAGCGATTGGAGTACAAAGGTTGGAAATAAAGAGGAAGAATCAGTAGGTGGGAAAATATGACCTTAGTGATAGTAATGATGCTGGAGATTACATGACAGAATTTTGCAAGACCAATGACTTCTTCATTGCAAATACCTTACTTAAACAATATAAAAGATGACTATACACATAGACCTTACCAGATGGAATACACAGAAATCAAATTGACTACATCTGTGGAAAGCAACAGTTGAAAAAGCTCCATATCATCAGCCAAAACTAGGCCAGGGACAGACTGTGGAACAGATCATCAATTGTTCATATACAAATTCAGGCTGAAGCTGAAGAAAATGAAAACAAGTCGACAAGAGCCAAAATATGACCTTAAATATATTCCTGAATTTAGAGATCATCTGAAGAACAGATTTGATGCAAAGACCACAAAAGTTGTGGGATAACATCAAGAACGTAATGCAGGAAGAAAGCAAAAGGTCATTAAGAAGACAAGAAAGAAGGAAAAGACCAAAATGGATGCCAGAGGAGGCTGAAACTTGCTCTCCAGCATAGAGATGCTAAAACAAATAGAAGAAATGAGGAGGTACAAGAGCTGAACAGAAAATTTCAAAGGTCAGCTCGAGAAGACAAAGTCAAATATTATAACAAAATGTGTAAAGGGAAGAGCACGCTCAGCATTTCTCAAGCTGAGGGAACGGAAGGAAAATTTCAAACCTCGACTTGTGGTATTGAAGGATTCTCCGGGCAAATTATTAAATGATGCCGAAAGCATCCAGAGAAGACGGAAGGAACACACAGAG